AAAAAAGGCAGTTTAACATTTATCAGCTACACCAGTTTTACTGGAAACTGTTGAAAACGTTTAACAACTTGTCCTCGGGAGGAGGGAGGTGGTGCCACGATGAGCACATCAAGTGTTTTCTCTGAGTTACTCTTCTTCAAGCAAGGCTGAAAAATGAACTCAAGATACAAAGTGAGGGACACCTTCCACTATCCCAGGTTGCTCCAAGCCCTGTCCAACCTGGCCTTGGACACTTCCAGGGATGGGGCAGCCACAGCTTCTCTGGGCAACCTGTGCCAGGGCCTCCCCACCCTCACAGGGAAGAATTTATTCTCAATATCCCATCCTGCCCTTTGGCAGTGAGAAGCTGTTCCCCTTGTCCTGTTACTCCAGGCTCTTGTGAATAGTCTCTCTCCATCTTGTTTGTGGGCTCCCTGTGAGGGAGGACAACACTGACTGGGACTGGGGCTCACACGTGACTCCAGCAAAGCCCAGAGCGAGGCAGGGGTAGAGACCTACCCCTTCCTCTTCCACACGATTCCATCCCTGCTCTCCCTTCTTCCTTAATGAACAGTCACTCAGAACAGACCAATGGTCACATCACAACTCGTCCCTGGATTCAGAACCTTTCTCCTTCCCTCCTCCAGCTCCACACTCCACCAGGCTGCAGCTCCCCTCTCTGCAGTGCCATCGTGGCACAAACCTGCCAGGCACGTAGAACTTAATGATCTAATCCTCCCACTTTCACAAAGACCAGATTAGCTTTAAGTTAAATACTCTTGTTCCTTAAATTTCCTCCTTGTCAGGATGCCATGGGAAGCTCTTAATCTTACAAAAAAGAGCCTGAGGACATTCTGATGCTTCTGCATGAAGAGAGAAAGCAGTCCACAGTGCCAAGATAAAGCTGAGGTATTAAACTAATCCCCCAGGCCGGGGGTGTGCAGGCAGGAGGGGTGGCTGTGCAGGCAGGAGGGGTGGCTGTGCAGGCAGGAGGGGTGGCTGCTGCTCATCATCGCCGCAGCTGCAACCGGGACCCTGCCGGGAGCATCCCCCACTCCACGAACAGCACACCCCGGCTTGGGATACACTTGTGCAACTCCTCAGCTGCAAAGAAATCCAATAAACCTGTGAATTAGCCCCAGAAGCCCAGGGGCTGATGAATCCAGCCAGCCTGCCCACACTTGCCACATCGGGGCCCTTTGCTGGCACGGCCCAGGGCCAGCAGAGCAGCTCCACTGAGGGGACGCTGTGCAGGGAGAGAGGGAGCATCCCAAACCACCACACTGCTCCATGACAAACAAGCCTGCAACTGCTCTCCAGTTGGATGGTTGGAAAGGTGAATTTTCCCTTGCTAGGTGTGACACCAAAGGGTCTCTGGACTGGCAGTGCCCGACCCACCGGGAGCTCCTGCAGCCAAGCTTCCACCTCCTCACCAAGCTGCTTGGATTGAAGCCTGGTCTTAGACAACAGAAAGGAAAAATCTCCCTAAACTTGAAACAAAACAGCAGAGCCTTTGCCCCCAGGTAAAGACCAGAGCACATTTATGAAGCAACTAATCTTCTTTTCATCCTTCTGATCCACAGGATTCGAGAGACCACAGGCATTTTACCTAACACCATAAACCCCAGTGTGGCACCTCCAGCTTGGCTCACCACTCCTCACTGCTCCATACAGCCAGCAACACACTGGAAGGGACCTAATTCCTGTACACCTTCCCATGGGCAGCACAGCCTTCTGGAGACTCATCCCTGGATCACGGGAACCAGGGGGATCTGCTGGAGGAGGGAAGTTCACCTCACTCACTGCCCAGCAAACTGTGTCTGTATCAGCTAAAGACAACTCAAAGGCAAGTTTGCAAAAGCAGGTTAAATATCAGTGTATGATATCAAGCACTGGCTTCTACAGTTTCATATTTTAAGATCAGATAAAAAAGGAAAGAAAGCTTTTTCCCTGCACATCTCTTTATAGACTTTCCAACAGCTTACACACAAAGCATTTAGACACTTTAATTTCCACTCTAATATGAATACTCTAACCCCAAATGAAACCTATTAAAAATTAAATTCTTATATTAAGTTTAAGATGCGTCTCTTTTCTCCCCAGGTCCCATTAAACACTCTCCCTGCACACAGTTTAGAAGACAGAAGAGATCCTAGAGAATATTTACAAAGAGAACAAAACCCCCTGAGGGTTTTTATGTTACTACAACATTAATCTATTTTAATCACACAACAGATTAAAACCAAACAACATTAAATGGTTCTGCAAAGTACCCAGTGAAAGTCTGTCTTTGTTGCACAAAAAAAACCTCAGGAAAAAATTAAAGTGCTTGGAAATAGGGTTATTATGTTGTTCCACAGAGACAGAGCACAGCAAAATCAAGACTGGGCCATAGAGCCCCTGGTGGGAAGAAGATCACAGAATCATGGAATACCAGAATGGTTTGGGTTGGAAGGGACCTTAAAGATCATCTTGTCCACCCCCTACCATGGGCAGGGACACCTTCCACCAGCCCAGGCTGCTCCAAGCCCCGTCCAACCTGGCCTTGGACACTTCCAGGGATGGGGCAGCCACAGCTTCTCTGGACAAACCATTCCAGGATTCTGTGATTACTTCAGCAATCGTTTCTACCATAAATCTTGGCAACTTTGACATCTTCTCTATTTCCCTCACACCCTGTCCCAGCCCCTCCAGCCTGTTCTCACACAGTGCCCTTTGCTGTGTGAGCATCTCCTCTGCCCACCTACAACCCCCACCCTCAGCTCTGTTTTGGGGAGATGGAGCCCAATGAGCAGAGCCTGTTCCTCAGAAGTTGTCTTGAGCAGCTGCTGAGAACAACAGCCCTGGTTTCTATCCCAAGCTCTAAGATTTTACTCACCTTTTAATTATTTACATCTTTTTTAACAGTTTCAGTGCAGTGAATTAAAATATCTATCGAGCTGACCACAGGTGATTTCCTTGAATAACCCCAGCTAATTTAGAGGCTGGGGCTGCTTATGAGTAGTTCATTCTTCCAGTAGCCCCCATCTCAGAGTTGCTAACACAGAATCTCCTCTGCTGCTGCTGCAGCTGCTCAGTGGCCTGGTTATCTCACCCTGATGCTCAAGGTTGTTTTTTCTCATCTTGAATAACCCAAATAATTGTGCTTCTGTAATTGAGTTTGCCATCTCACTGCCCAACAGGCTCTTGATGAAGAACTGCAGCATTCTCCAGGATGGGTTTTGCTGCATCCCAGATCACATCCATACACTGCTGCAAAGCTGAGCCTTTCCAACAGTCACAAGCCAATGTGTTCCATCACAGTTTTATAACCACCTTTGCCCAGCAGACATTGGATGGGAGCAGTTACGTTGGAGCTTGAAATTATCTCAAGAAACCTCAAAGAAAAATACCTGCTCTTCTTCAAAGCTGTTAGATTTACTGAAATGAGTGGAAGCATTTCACAGGGATGCTTGGATAATATGGGGTGCTCTAGGCAGCCCTTTTATCTCAACATGTACCAACTGAGCTGCCAAAGCAAACCAAAACCTTCAAGGGAATGATTTGTGTGATTACTCCAGATTTACCAGGAGATATAGGTGGGAGTAGCTGCGGTGAACTTGTTTCTGGCAGCATCACTACTGCTGTGGAGGGATAAAATCCAGGGGATTCTGCACAACAGTTGCATTAAAACCTTCCACTCTGTTTACTCAGTGGATTTCCTACCGACGTGGTGCAATCCCTGACAGGATTTGATTACTTCATCTCAACATTCTTTCTCCCCAAACCAGCTGCTGCAATGGATAATCCATATTCAACCGGGGAGGACAAAGAGGAGGAATGAACAAACCCTGATCCCCTTCTTCTAATGTTTGGGTCTCTCTTTCTAGGCTAAGAGCCAGTGAAGGAGGGCTGCTGACCTCCTCTGAGGGCAGGACATGCACTGCAATCCCACTTCCCTGCCAGTGATCAGGGAGAGAGATCCACTTCCCTCGCTCTCCAGGACTAAGCACTGAAACAGGGATCAAGCAGATTCTACTAATGCAAGTCAGAACATCTCCAGCACACAGAGATGCCTGGAAATGTTTTCATGGCAGAGACATTGTGTCTCTTCTAGCTGGCACAGTGTGCTGCTCCCTCAGGGCACCCTGGATGACACTGGAGACAGCCCAGGACCTGCTGGGCTGGAGGAGTGACCAGGCTTTGGGAGGAGGAACAAACCCGTTGTGGCCACAGCAGCAACACACAGGAACAGTCCATGGCACATATGGACAGAACATAAAGGATGCCACCCAAGGCACAAGGACACCACTTACCTAGTGGCAAAAATGCACAAGGTATAAAGCTATGCCTAGGTGAGATCACAGAATCATGGAATGGTTTGGGTTGGAAGGGACCTTAAAGCTCCTCTCATTCAAGCCCCTGCCAAAGGGCCTCCCCACCCTCACGGGGAAGAATTTCTTCCCATTTAACCCTGCCCTCTGTCAGTTTGAAGCCATTCCCCCCTTGTCCTGTCACTCCAGGCCATTGCAAATAGTCTCTCTCCATTTTCTTGTAGGTTCCCTTCAGCAGGAGGCAATTAGGAGATGTTTCACTGCTCCTCACAGCTTCACAAAACTTTCTAGTATTTCCAGTCTCAAGCAAAAAGCCCCCCAGAAGTCAGTGTCCCCCCTCCCAGGAACCTGCTTTAAAAACCATGGCATGTATATCCAGGGTTTTCTTATTTGCATTGCAATTTTTAGCCTCATGAAAGGGAATGCCTTTCACATAATGATATTACTTAAGGATCTAAGATAACAACAAAAAAAAGATGATGAGCCCTGTGATAAAATCATGAAAGGCAGTAATGCTGCACCTTATTACCACTCCATGGTAATTCAGCTTCTCTTAGTAGTGGTAAGGGCCTCTCCAAGAGCAGACAAGAGCCTGCTGTTGAGCTCTGCTAATGATGCAGAAGATGTAACTCTAATGCAGCCGAGGTGCCAGCTCCTTCCAGGGCCACACACTGGGCAGGTAACATTATCCTCTGCATTTTACAGGTTTTCACAGTAAAAAGTCACTTCTCAAAATCATATGAAATCACATTTTGAACAAACTTTAAGCTGCCTAAGTAACCATAAACTCAGGGAAGGCAGAAATAATGTGCCTATGCCATGGTGAATGGATGGTGTAAATGTACATCAGATGTTGGGGAAGTGCAACCATTCAGTGGGTGAATCACTGCAGGGTTTTTCTGCCTCAAACTGCAGGCACTGTACCCACAACTGGTTTTGAACCAGCTGCTACAGCGAGAAGACATCAGCTTTAAAAGATAACAGCAAATCCTTAAGGACAATAAGTGCTCAGCTTCATGCTTATCCAAGCTCCTGGAGTGCCTCCTTTGAGTCACAGGATCATTAAGGTTGGAAAAGACCTCAAAGATCATTAAAAAATAAAAAGTGACTTTCAAAACACGCCCGGACATCCCTTCTGTCCCACCACAGTGTGAGAACAGGGTCTGCTTCCCATCTGGTCTCAATCATTCAAAATGTCAGACTGTCCACCCAGTGGGTTGTGCAGCTCCAAAGGATCCCCCAACACCACCTGTGAGTGTGCATTAAATACTGACTCCAAAGGAAAAGCACCACTGTCTGCAGCATCAACAGAAGGGTGAGATCCCAGCAGCTCTCACAGCCAAGGGGTTTGAGACAAAGTGTGAAGAAACTTCTTAATATTTCTACTCCCAAAATAATCCTGGGTATCTGTCCTGGAACTCCAATTTTGGATATTAGGAATGACAACAGAGCAGCTTGTTCAAGTAAAAACTGTTCATAAAGGAGTATTTCACCTAAATAGGGGTAATGATTTGTTATTATTGGTTGTAAGATCTGATACACAAGAAACACAGCAAAGAAAATCAGAGTAAGAAAAGAACACTTTCTCCATTTGTGCTATTTTCTTGAAATTAAATCTTGCAGGGATTCTTCTGTATCCTGATGCCAGCCCTTTCCCATACTAGTTTGCAGTCAGGAATCACTAAGCCTGGGAGTTTGGGCTGGCCTATCATGTCCAGCCTCCTCTTTGCTAAACAGCTCCTGTCCCAGAAAAATTAATAAAATTACTCACTAAATGAATTTTATTTTAAAAAGAAGAACACACTTTTAGACTTAAATTCCAATACAGCCAACTAAGTTAAAACAAAGTATGCACTGCCAAATGTTTTTGTTAATAAGACTAAAATCACTCTAGAAATCAAACATCAGTTAATCTCCCAGCTAAGAATATCACGTAGAGAAGACTAAAGGATCTGCCAGTAATCTTAAAATGAAGCCTGATAAGGCAAAAAAATAATTCACAGCAGCTTGTGATCACTTAATGTTCTCGTTGCTGGTTAATCCATCCAGCATCAAGGGGTGCTCACTGATCCAGGGTCACAGGGCTTTTCCAAAATAATCCCCAGGAAGAAATAGTCCAAAAGGGTTATATTTAACACCGTATCACTTTCAGGCTAAAAAAGTGCTTTCAGCTACTTAATCCCTTTCTGAAAGAGGTGGCCTCG